TGGAAGCTGTAAAAGATCTGAGTATAAAGGATTACTAAAGAAAGAAATATGCACGCAGGGCTTCACAGCACTCTTGCAAAAAGAGAGGAAGAAATCAAGACTCTTATGTGACCACAACTGCTTACAAAACTAGTTCATTTCACAGAACCGTCTGTAGAAACTAGTTCTTGAAAGCTCTGAGAAATCTTTATGAAACGAAACTGTAAGCCAATTCATAAAATTCTAGATGATGGATTGTGCATTTACGGAAAACTCATTTAAATAAAACCCTGTATTTCAAAACAAAAGATTACATTAGAATTAGACAATAAAGGCAACAGGGTGGTGCTGAGGAATGACAGTGAATAAAATTCTTCAGCTTAACATTGCATTAAATGAACAGAAATTTGCACCCACAAAGCACTAACTCCAGCAGGTTTTAACACAGGCAAAAAAGCTACGTAGTGGCAGGAGGGAAGGGGATTTCTTGTTTTGGGTTTGGTTGGGCTGTGGTTTGCAGGTTTTTTTTCCAGGTAAAAATGAAAAAGAGCTAAAGTTTCAGGGAAGGTACTTTACTTTGCATAGCCCATGCTTTACCTAGCAGAGTATAAAAGATTATTTTTTGAAAAAGTGCCTGAAAATAAACAATTCTGATAGCACCATAGATGAGATACTTAATGAAGAATCAAGACATACTGCAGTACATACCTAATGAATTATTGAACATTTTGTTCATCTTAAAATGTGATCAGTGTTTACCAAGATCAAGGGGGAATTGTACCTGTTTCCTGGATTAATAATCTGATCCAAAGGGACAGATTTAATGTGTTAAACAGCTGTGAACTTAAAAGAATTTCAAGTTTAATCACAGCTGTATTCTTGCTGCAATAAAATCTGAAAAGAGATCTTGACTGCTCAAACCATGTAACAAGCAGGGGATTATCCTTGCTTATTCTAATACATGATTCTATGATGACATGCACTAGTGTATTAAAATACATTTGAACAATTAGGCTTTACAAAAGATGCTTAGAAACAGAACTCAGGTCTGTCTCAAGCACAAGGCCTCCCCCAGGACAGGCCTTACAACAAAGATGGAAGCAGGTTTCACTCATCCAGAAACACTGACAAGTATAACCCCTAGTATGAGGTGCAGAGATACCTATTCGTGTTGGCTCAAATCCCAGGCAGTTCCAAAGGACTCATTACAGATTCTCTTTGCATTCACTTAAACCATATTGTAAACAATCTGTTCAACTGACAAGTTCTCAAATGCTTGCAGATCAGACTATTTGAGTTGCCACAGGCTCCTCTGAAGCATTACCTACGAGAATTACAAATAAGTTATTAACAGAGTTACTTCAGAAAGAACTAATGAAGACCTAAACTTTTAATTATATTATCCCTAGAATTTTTATTTTAGAATTTTTTTTTTCTACCTAATGACAATTAGGCTTCAATGAACATAAGTATCCTTGAGATTTCAGGGAACAGAAGATCTCCAAACACAGGAAAATTTAGCTTTCCCCAAGAGTATACAGTACCTGCCTCAATTGTTCAGTTTGGTCTAAGCTTGAGAGGGGCTAGTTTCCTCTGCTAAACTATGAACAGAGAAGCACTCGAGTAATGCTCCTCACCTCTTTGGTTGCTTAGGGAACTCCACTGAATCCTGCAATACAATTTGTCCTTGGCTCCCTGTGTCTGTCATCCTTGCACTGACTGTAACATTTCTGGCATCTGGAGACCAAAGAGCACAGCCAAACTCATCAGCATGAAAAAAATACTCCATGGAACCATCAAATTCTCAGTGTCACTGTGGACTTGCCATTCTTGGAGAAAACTCAAAACTTGTTTGGACTAGGCCCTGAGCAATCTGAAGTTTGCCCCATTTTGAGCTTGACTGTTAGTCCTCCAGAGGTGTCTTCCAAGCTAAATTTTTCTATGTGTTTTTTAAGGAGCATCATTTTTAAACAACACCAGCTGGCACATATGTATCAAAACTGTTCTTCCCTTCTTAATCCCAGTGGACATAGAACAGTCTTTTTCAGAGTCTCAGTATTTGTCTTCATAATAGTAAGTACAGATTTTGCTGTCACAGGTGAGGCTAAAACTTGCTGGGCACAGTAATATTCAAGTTAAAGATGACAACTTGGAAAGCAAATCCCTAATATCTGATGGAGAAGCAAAAGTACTTGAAATAAATCCTCCTTAAATTGCGGTTAGAAGCTGCAGATCCTCAGTTTCCATGACTCAGCTCTATTTCTGGACCAGTACACACTTGCTATAGTAGAATAAACTATTTTCTTCTTTGATCTTGCTGCACATTTCATACTCTACAATACACTCTAGCAACATAATAGGTGATAAACTGCCATATGGTATCCTGCAAACACAAGATAAACTTGAATAAAGACAAGGCTAAAAGAAAACTGTCAAATTACACTTTATTTGTATTGACAAGATAGGCAAAAGAAAGACTTTGTGTTCAGAGATACAAATTCATTATTTGCTGACAAAATGCTCTATACCCATGTTGGGTATTTCCACTTTCAAGACAATACTGAGTGGATCTTTAACAGGCAATTCTTTATCCTAGGATAAGGAAAAAGAATGCCTATGAAAATAATTTCACACAAAAATGTCACCTGCTTGTGGCTCCAACTTTACTGCTGAGTTCATGATTGGCAGCAAATAATTACATTTGGCCTCAAAAAACCCATATGTAAAACTGTAAGATCATTAAATAATAAGCATTAGCAGCATACCCAAAATACTTCTCGTACAAAGAACATTGCACTTGAACATACACAAGCATTTACCCTTATTTACACATTAGAATGTATAGAACAGCAAGACTGATATATACAGAAAAATAGCAGAAACCTTAACAGCCCTAGACAACAGCATATCTAGTGTTGACTCCTTAATTTTTCCATACAGTTTCCCAGGATGTCTCATGATTTTTTTCACTATATACTATTGCATAAAAAATAGACTTTACAAGAAGTTCAGTCCCCAGTTAACACTTCAGAATATGTCTATGTACTATTAAATGTTCACTGCACTAGGGAGCAAGGTAGTCCAGGTCAGCTCCTTATTAAAAAAAACATAACTCGACAGGCGCTATCTATTTAAACACTGTGCTTTACTTTATAATAGACACTGAAATCACTTAGCTGTGCAGTATCTACCCAGTGAGTTCCAAAGGGAGTTCCCTACCACACAGGATCTCCCACTGCCTTGCAAGCAATGAGATTAACTTCTCCCTGCTTTCTGCGCTTGGAATAAAGATGTACCACTGGATCTCTCTGCTCCTGATGCCTTCTTGATTAGCATTTCCCTTTGGGGCACTATCAGTTTCTCCAAAGTGATCCAGTGTTAAATTCTGCATCAGATCCTGATCCTGAACATCATCAAACACAAATGTAAGGGCCTGCGGATATGTCTGATAACCCATAAGTACTCTATCTAAATCCCGGATTCGTCTTCCATCTGCAAGCTGATACTTATCTCTCTTTGGTGGTTCCTTAGCAAATTCAGGTAGTGGGTAACTGATATAATCTTCATCAAAGAGGAACAAATCAGAGCTGGTTAATATAAGTGTTTTAGGTTGAAGTGAACTAGTGTTTTGGGCAGATCCTTCAACATGATTTACTTGAAACGCCAACACATACAGAAGGATGTTGAGGGATTGAAGATTAGTCAAACCATCCATCTTCTCTGCCACTAGAAAAGCAAGGTCGCCAATTTCCTCTTCATTTGGATAAATAAATTTTACTCTGCTAGAGTGAATCAGTTCATAATTCTCCATTTTTCCTGCAAGAAACATATATTATTACACTTCTATTCAGTACTATACAATACTTAATACATTAGGATAAGCAAAAACCTTTCATAGTTGGCTGCAGCTAGAAGAATTCAAGTTTTGTACTTATTCACTTACAGCTTTACTTATATACAATATTGGAATAATTTTATTTGGATGGCAGATCTCTACTGGAGTCTCTCTTGCATTACCAACATACTTCTCTGCAGTTTCTAACCACATAACTTCTTCTGCCATCACCCTGAACTAAAGGAAATACAGCTGGATTCTCAGAGACTATCTACCTCCCTACCAGCTGACCTCCCCTGCCTCCTTCCCACTCCCCAGTTCTGAACTCACTGAAAGCATTATCAGATCACTGAACACACTTTTCTTTTGAGCAGAGAGAAAAGGCAGAAATACAATAAAAACAGAAAAAGACTCTTATATCCCTACTAGATGTGCACATTCCTCTGCTCCACGCTACTCTCTGGCAGGAGGTGACACTGCAGTCACTTACTCCCTGTAAGTGCTAAAATACAACATAGAAAAGCTTGAAGGAAGCATGCCTGCTTTTTTCACATAAACCAATTGGTCAAATAAAAGGTATGGCATCCCATCAAACCTTGCACTTTCTGGGCTTACACAGCTCCTTAAAAAAGTAGCAATAACAATCATTCTTCACAAAAATGCAATTTTATTTCATGCCTTCAACTGGCTTTCAGAATTCCAAGCAAAAAAGTTTCACCTGATAATGGAATTGAACCAAACACACCTTAAAAAAGTCTAGCTTTCACTTCACTACATTCTCACAGAATGACAGGATTCTTTTATTTGACCAAGTGACGAAAAATATAACCTTCACACTTTGTTACCTTCACCATTCTTTGAAGGCTTACAAGACTTCATAGGTTAGGCTGAAACTTGCAGCGGGAGCTACACTAATACACTCCCCAAAATACTGTATAGGAAGTGCTGTTTCTGCTGGACTCATGAAGCCACCACTAACTTCACATGTGCAAGACTAACTATATTTAACAATTCTGTTCAGGTAAGACACATGCAAGATAACTGAAGTCAGGGATTTTGGTTGAAGTATCAAATAGGAAATAATTGATGCATAAATTTCCCTCAAGAGTTTTTAATCAGTACACTTTAAATGATGCCTTAAGTACGATGCCTAAATAACTCATGACATGCAGAAAAGACCACTTACCTGTGTTTTTACTCCCAAATTCAGAGTAGAAGTCTTTATCTACTGGTTCAGGTGAAGGTGTGCGTGCAAGCAATGACAGAACTGCCATAAGCTGCTGTATGAAGGTGTGAGTGTTGTAACTGTCTCTTGTCAGGCAGGTGACTATATGATCTGCAGAGTGTCCTGAAGAGAGAACCGAATATAAACCACTCACAGATCTGTATGTGGCATTATCCTAATTTCTTCAACAAGCATGCAACCATCACCAAAAAAGATTTCATGCTAGGATTATTTCTCCTGAAAACATGCATCATAATTCAGAAAGCTTTCAAATTTTTGGAAAAGAATAATAGAATCCTTACAAATCCCTCAAAAAATAAAGAATATAATTTCTCTTGATTTAAAATATGACATACACTTATGATTTAACTGTTCAACTATTGCTGTAGGGGTTCAACTTTATCATGATCTTATGTTTACAGTTTATCTTACAGAAAAAACTGCTGTCAGCTTTCTTTGTGTAAGGTACTTTAAATAATTCCTGCAAGAGAGATTCCCCCCGCATCAAGGTCTCAACACAATTAGAAGACATTTTAGAATACAGGAATGTATGGTTCACATGTAGTGCGACTCTGAGGCAACGCACCAGCCCAGAAACTTTACCCATGTTATTTACATTAAATTTTAAGTTGACATCATTACCTTTCATAAAGGCCTCATTTTCTACCCAAGAAGTCAACCATCAACTACGCATTTTGCAATGTGAGCAGTACCTTGATTTTACTCTTTGTTGCAAGCCAACGCCTCATAACAACAAGAGAGTCTTTAGAGTTCCCTTTCAATGTGTCCTTAAGACAGGACAGTTTTTAAAAGCACTTGTGGGACCAATTAATTCATTGATATTAAGCTTCCCAGTTACCTCAATTACAAGATGTTGCAAGACAGTATTATCAGCCTACTGGTAGAGCACCAATGTTACATTAACTTGATTTTTTTAAGCAGTAACAAAATAATATACTCTTCCCTTTCACTAATAAAGACAGGAATCCATCTAAGACAAGACTAAACAGACAAAATAGAACTGGAAAAACTTAAAGCACAAGATGTACTCACCAGTAATTCGGAAGTATTGGTCAAACAGGCCAACATTTACTGACTGCAGGTCATTAAGTTTTAGCACAAAGCAGCAAGAAAGGTGGAAAGAACTATTTTCACAATCCGAGTTTTCTTTGTTCCAAAAATCTGTTGAAAAAGGATATACAATAAAAAAGTAAAAAAAATTCTTCTTTCCATAAGCATATTTTTTTAATATTAAAATCTTGTATCTATATCACACTTGAAGGAAGAAGTTAGGAAGAAAGTGGGAATACTAGCTAATAATTTCTCAAGCAAATACAACCAAATCTCTTCCTTAGCAGTGTTTCTTGAAGTAGCCATCACATCACAGATTTAAATTAGTAGATTCATTAACACAGCACTCGCATGAACTGAAGGCACACCATGAGTTTCATTACCCTTCATTTACCATTTTGGTTATGAAAGAGCCTTTAGCTACCCAGGTGATGCTAGGGACTATGAAATGACATCCAAGAAAAGCACGGATACAATGGCACATGGAAGGGTCTCTTTTGAGAAGCAGCCATGACTCAAGACCCTGTTTTTTGACTATAAAATCCTCGTGCAAGTACTTTGCATACAGCAAACTGTGCCACTCTCTCCTTCAACTAGGATGTCCAAGTAAGAGTATCAGCAAAAACTGGTACTTAAACTAAAGACAAACACACAGACAGGGATTAAGTTGGTAACCTTATTAAAGGATCAAAATAGCTATCTTACCTGACTGGTGCTCATCAGCATGAATGAAAGAATCATCCAACAGAAAGTAAATAGCTTTTGTTGAGAGAAGCACACAAGCCATCACTTCCACATTGGGAGTCTTGTAAAACAGAACTGAAGACCACATGAGATGTCTCAACTCTTCATTTTCCACCTAAGATGTAAATTGTATTTCATAAATCACTTGCACACTTTGATATTTCAGATAGTTTCATCATCTTAGAGGCAATTTTAGACTACTAGAAAAACAATTTCAAAATCTGAAGCATTTGAACATGCTATAGTCAAAGAGCATAAGTTCACCTCAAAGCTGCTAAACACTGCAGCAGTCTACCAAAAGTCTCTTGTGTTTACATAAGAAAATTATTTTTCTGTTGTGGCCTAATTATTCCAATTATTCCTTGTTTTCTGACCAAAACTAGAAAAAATAAAAATATCTAGTGCACAAGAAAGGCTTTCTAGAATAGATACTGCAGACAAAATTTTAATCAATAGATGAGCAGTGACTCCCAAGCCTCAACTACTCTATTGAGCCTTCAGATGCTACTGCAGGGTTGGATTCAAATATCCAACAAAGACAGAAACAAAGCTTGCCCACTACAGCTGCTGTTCCAACTAGGCATCTTCCCAGCTTCTAGCTTGATGAGCTTACTGCAAATCCTCAAGAGAGTAACCTTTCTTTATCAGCTTCTCCTGGTGTAAGAAGAGAAACACAACTTTAACTTGTGCTTACTTTAAAGATGTAGAAGTGAGGTGAGGGAATAAAAGGTCTCTTTCTCAATAAGCTTTTCAATTGACATTTGTACTCAGACCACAATGGTTTATCATTCAAAAAGCCACACTGTGAATTTAAGGTAAGATTTGTACTTTTAAATTTTATGTTCCCCAGAGAGACTATAAATCTGTTTTTCATAAATTAGGTTTATCTGCTCATGTTTCTGGAGTACCTACAGCCATGTACACGTGTTGTATTCATGCACTGATATTACAAAAGGAGTCAGGACACTTATTTATTGATTTAACTAGATACCATCCCAAAATAATTCCACTCCAGTTATTTTTTCTTTAAAGTGGCAAAAGGAAAGAAAAGGGGAACATTCTTGGAGTAATCATATCTTCAAGATATATACTAATGTACTCTCCTGTTCTGCATCAAGGATCCTGAAGGCAAAATATGCCTGGCAGGATCCCAATCGCTGTAGCAGGGAAGCCAAAATGGAGAAACACAAACAGGTTTCTGCTCAAAACACTTCCAGGTTTCACAGAGCTTAACTCTTGTTTTTAAGTTTGATCAGGGAAGTTCTTTTTAAAAGACTGTCTAGTACTGAAAGGCCACAGGCATTTTTTTATACACCTGAGCTAGGCACAATACCTCTGCAACATTGCCATGGAAAAACTCAACTAGGGCATTTCCTTTCAGCCCAGCCACATACTGCAGAGACACAGAAACATGAAGGTGAACAGGAATCTGGTTATCTTCTGTTATCTTCTGCATGAGAAATTCAGATGGATATAAAGATGACAGCATCAGATGAGGCTTGCAAAAGCTAGAAAAGATCCAGAAAACACATCATCAAAATTTAAGGAAATACACAGCTCTTTCCCTGCAAGAATTAGTACTTTATTTTTCATAAACAGGCAACTTCTATCCTTAGTTTACTTTAAATGATTTATCTTGAGCATAGCTGTCAATCTGCCATGATCTCAGCCTGCAAGCACAAGAAATAGGAAGTCTCCTTCCACAAGAAAATACATTTTATGTTGCAATGATAAAACAAAACAGGAACAAAAAAAAGAGGTAGACAGATACAGTCCAGGATAACCATTCACACATGCTACAGACTAGCAGAATGAAAAAGTACTTCCATCAACATTACAGGCCAAAAATAATTACAATGACAACTGCAAACACACTGGCTAGGCCACATTAAGTTCAGCACTGCGCAACAGACCTTTTATGGGAATTGTTACCTTGCTGACTGACCATGTCTGTTTGTCTCCACAACATGATTTCTTACAGCATCTGATTTGCTTGAAGCTTTGAAAATAATAATAGTTTTAACATCCTGTAGGAGTGTCCTTAAAAGACTGTAGATTCTTAGAAAGTGGAATTTCTCATGAGGTAGAACAAAAACTGCTCTAATAAATCTGTATCCAACGAGCAACTCCAGCACATGCCCATCCAAAAATGAACCCTTCTGCTGGATGGGACCGTGAGTCGGATGCAACACAAGTGATGCTAACGGAATCCTGTTGAGCTTAAATACGCCTCCCAACTCTTCTGTGCCTACCCATTTACCTGGCAGTAAACTGAAATCCACCTTTACTATATACAAATGCTGGGGTGTTAGAAATATCCAACACGGATGGACCACACAGGGACCCTGGTCAGAAGATTTATACACTGAAGAATAAAGTGCAGAACACAAAACATTTTTTGACCATTCTTTGTTATTGCCAGCTGACTCTGGTTGATGCAAGATTTTCTGAACATTGGTTTTATTCCCATAAAGAAGATATGTTGGGAAACAACCTTTTATTTCAACATCTTCTGCTGAAATGCAATTCAATTCCATAAGCTGACAGAGAAACTCTTGGAGGTTTGCTTTTCCACAGTACAACGTGGAGCTTGGTAACACTGATGTGTGGTGTTGACAGCAACAGGTGTGTAAACAGGAATAAAAGTCTTGAAGATTCTGGGAGTCTGAAACAATAAGCAAGCAGTTGTCACCGTTTTTCAGCTTCAGTGTTAAACAGATTTCTGGCAGGAGGAAGCCAAATTCTATTAGATCAGTATATGGAAAACACAGTGTTAATTTCAAGGCAGAAGGGATGTGCTGGCAATTTCCTCTCAATTCCTGATGAGGAATCTCAAACACAGCTAGCATATCATTAGTCAAAACCAAACATGAAGCAAACTGCCTGAGTCCTTTATGAATGTGAATAGAAAAACTCCAGAGGATTTTGACTACATCAATACTCTCTGCTATGTTGTCAGATGACCGAGTATCTGAAGTAGTGCTGAACTCAAAAGTCTGATCTCCTTCATGAAGTCCCATTTCAAAATATCCATCTTCTTTGTCTGTGGTTCTGGAATCGCTTCCTTTATTCTCTGTAAAGGAGGGGGATGATCTCTGCACAGTCTGCACTATCAAGGCAGAAAGGTGCTGGATAAAATCTTGGTTTGTGGCAGTGTATGACATACAATTAAAAGGCAAGATGATGGTGTTACAGGGGTCAGGCACCGCACAGTATTCTTCCTCTGAACGATCAAAACTTCAAAAGAGATAAGCCACAGTAAGTACAAGCTTCAGTTTAAAAACAGTCATAGCTACCTACAATTCATGGTGCTGCTGCTTAGAACTTTGAGGTTTACTCTTGTTAATACAGTTAAGTCAGTGTAATTTTGCAAAACATCTTTGTACTGCACACAGCCATTGATTTTAAAGGCTGGTAGCATGTAATTCTATAGAAAGTAAAAACTGAAATGTTTAACTCATCTTCCATTTCCCATCCCCAACAAGCATATCCTTACAAGTTAAAGCACTTCATAGTACAGCTATTGCTGGTTTTGAAACTACCAACTGCATCCCACAGTTCAAAGGTTAAAAACACTTTACACCATGAAACTGATTTTGGTTAAAAAAAAGAAACAAACAGAGGCAGCATGCAATGAAAGAGACTGTTTTGCCTTGAAGGCCAGGTTTAAAAATGCAGCATCCACTTTTATTACCCAAAAGCTAACAAGGATTTAAACCAGAACTTAGACATCTAGCTTACCACATATGATGACCACTTCCATACTCTTTGCATGAATCCAGTAGGGAGGCAGGTGCCTAAGTAGAAGAAAACATCAGGAAGCTATCAACTACTTACAGCTGCTGTCAGACTTCAGCATATATGAAAAACAAAGTTAACATTGGCTCCCACTTTTTAAAGCTAGCCGACTCACTGCAAAGTCCTTTGAGGATCCTGAAACACTGTTTACTTTAGGTTGGGCACTCAATTAAGGCAGGAAAAGAATGAACTCCGCTGCTAGCTCAAGAACAGATCCAACCTGTGACCCATAGACATTTCAGCACACTATAAATTTTTACTGAAGTGAGGCAAAAAGGTGAAGGAGCTTGACAAAGACCAACTATACCAGTAGCAAAGGAAGAGATTCCCCCAAGTCTTGCTGTCTCATTCCTTGAAGCCATGCATATGAAGGGTGTTTCCAATACAACAAATGAAATCACAATACAGACGTTATCAAACAGCAGGAGTTTGAAGGAGACAAATTAAGGCCATTACCTATTGACAAGGAGAAAATCCTTCCACTCTACTAGCAAGAAAGTAGATATGATAGAAGTCTTACACTCAGTATCTAAGTGGATATTAAATGATGTGATACTAATATTGGATAAGCATCTCAGTCATGACATAGTGACAACAATTCTCTGCAACTCTGGTAAACTTGGATTATGCATTTAATTTACAAGGTGGACCAACCCCTTGATTCAAATTTGGAGCTACCTCCTTTTACATTATAATAGCTCTGAGAATCAAAAAACTTTGCTATGGATTACTATGATAACAGAAGTTTAATATCAGAAATAAGCTTGCAAAAACACTTTTAAAAACACCATTAAACAAACAGAAGGATGGCAACTACCTGGTATTTACATCTGGAGTCTGGTATTTCAAAGCATCTCTGGGGAACTGTATGGTCTGTAGGAGTCGAACCACTGGACTGCAAAAAACTGCTGGCTAGGACTGTTTCTTCACAAATTATTTCTAGAACAAATATAAACAGCTCTTAAATCACTGAAGTAAAACCAAAATGAATGTCTAATAGTATTTGCCAAACAAGTGGAATTAAAATTGTATAAAGACCTGACCGTAAACCTTCAACTAGACTCAGAAGGTCTGGTCTCTCAAATGCCACTTAAGACAATCATCTCGCCTTATTCGGAAACTTTTTGAAGGGTTCAAAGCTGAATCATCAGTAAAAACTTATAAATGCACATACGCCAACATTCTCAGGCACATTTGACTTTTTGCCTGTTTGATATTCACAGCGTTACACTGACACAACAGAGCAAATCAATTTTCAATATTACCCCTGAGCCAGCCAGCTCAATTATATAAACGTGCAAATAAACAACAGAATTAGTGTGGATATGTTTCTGGCTTGAGCATAAGAACTCCTGCACATATCTTTCTGGATTGATAGTAAAGTTTAGTAGATTACTTCAAACCATCTCACAGAGGAAACACAAGAGTATTTATTATTTGAACAAAATACTGTGTTAGCAAGAAGGAAACTCAGATTGACAGGAAAAACAGAACATGACAGCATTATTTTTGGTTTTCTGTTTCCTGTATAAATATTTAATCTTTTTCCATATGCCATTTGCTAGTGACATTTAATTTGAATAATATGTAACGGAAACAGATGGTGTCTAGAAAAACTGCAGAGAAAACAATTCATAGAAATAGCATATCAGGAAATTAATTCCATTATTTATGATTTAAGGTCTAAGTGAAACTAATTGCCTAGCATATTTCCATTTTTTAAAATAGATTTCTCAAAATCAGTATTTTGAAAACAACCCTCAATAGCTAAATATGTAGTAAATAATCAATTTCTATTGTTAAAGCTGAGAAATAGCCTGCCCTAGTCCTCATTTTCCCACTATTTATAAAAGCCTTCCCCAAGATTCTACTAAAGGAACCTTATGGAAAAGGACTACAATAAATAAACCTTGAATCTTATACCAGTCTTCCTATAAAACTCCCAAGTACTTCAGAAAGAAAGATCTAGATTTTTTTTTTCCTCCCAAGATTCATTTGCTCCTAAACATTTATTGTAATAGAAAAAGACTATTGATGAATAACTTCTAAACAGTGATTGCTAGCATGCATTTTTACAGCCAGTCTGGTATAAAACTGCATGTTGTTACATAGACAAACTGTCTCAATCCTGTAACTTATATGCTTAATACTTTAAAGCTAGCATTGACTTCATTTTGGAAAAAACAGCATTTTATCTGCAGATTAAGTGATCTAGAAGGACTATGAAGGCAGATGATGTACATAAGTAGCAACTAAATCTGTATCTAAGTTGTCTGTCCTTTAATACAATGCTGTCAGAACAATTTAATTTTTATAGAGTGAACTAAGAAACCTCTACTGATTTTGCAGAAATCACGGCAATGGACTTTTTTCAAAGATGAAGCTTTTCAGCCATGTTTCTCTCCCCCATCCACCAATTTATTGGTAAGAGTAAGCTGTTCCACCCCATGTTATTGAGAATATAATCCCTGCTCTTTTAAATGGTTACGAAGTCTTCTCCCACTGTTCATATCCTACTGCACTTTAAGTTTTTATTAGGCAAAAGCAAAAAAAAAAAGTATCTTTATCTGTTCTTCTCAGTCACAAATGACTATGCACATAAGTCAGTCTTATGGGCTCCCTGCAAAAGATGAAAGATAAGCCATTCTTCTAAGTTCCTAATGCAACAGACAACCTTATTTGAAGCATACAGTAAAAAATTTTCAGGTAAGGTTAGCAGGTGCTGTAGAGCACAACAGATGTGCTGAAATCACAGGCAGAGCCAGAACACTAATCCCACAGCCATCTTTTACTCATCTCCTTTTTCTATCTTCCCTCTGGTTTGACAGAAATGCAGCTCTTGCAAAAAAGCAATAATGGAATATATGCTGCTTGAGCTCCCATTTTGCAGACCAAGAACAGGTAGAGAAACAATTTTAAAACATGTCTATACATGCCATAGTTTTCCATTAAGGCATGTATCTAAACCAGGAAAAGATACATAGTCCTCTGCTGGTGACTTCTGCAGGATGGCACGGTAAAAGTCCTGTACCCAAACTGCCACTACAGTTAATTAACACTACAGCGAACAACAGGTCAGTTTTACTGATTCACATACAACTTTCGATTTTCTAAGCCAATACTACCAGGTCTTTCTGCTTTGTCTTGATAAGCCCTATATCCATGCACATAATATTCATGTATATCAATGCAGCTTAGAAAAGCAGAACCAAGAGGCTCAGCCCAGCAGCACGATACATACATGATTACCTTGGCTGGAGCTGACAGGACGAGGCAGAGAGGGAGAGGAAGGACGAACAGTAAGAGAAGAACAGTTTGATTTGGAGCTGGCAGCAGTGAGCCTGGAGTCCTCACTGATCTAATAAAGAAAGTATGCAGCGATTAAAGAAAAAACCTAAATACACAAGACACATTAGATCCTGAACTAAAGTAAGTCTACACAAGCTTTCTCAGTTTTAGTAAAAGGAAAGTTAATGCCAGCTTTTTTTTCCCCCCTCTCTTTTTTGGGGGGGGGGGGGGGGGGGGGGGGGCAGTGCATCACATCCTCTGAAGTTTCTATTTTCACACTAAGGGAATCCCACTAAGAATTCATTTACAGAAGTCATTCTGATCACTGACTAATCACTGTATTGACAAAACTAGCAGCTAGTTTCACAAACCATGAGAGAATGAAAACAGGGACACTGTTGGGACAAGATAGGTTCTGATAATAAGTTTATTACTAAAACAAGACTAACCAACTACACAGCACACAGACACACATGAAAGAAGGCAAGGAGGATTCAGATTTCTGATTCTTTCCCACTGCTAAATATCCACAACAAGAAAGTCTGGGAAAGTCATTTCAGTACTCTGCAACATAAGCAGTAAAATCACACCCCTACAATACTTGCATAAGACAAAATATGGCTGTTAAGGTCAACTGCATATTCATTGTGTACACCATTAAGTCATTTTATCTTTTCCTCTCACTTCCTCTCTCCTAAGCCAGCACAAAAAGGAAGGTCAGATAAGTACTGAAATTACACTGAACACTAAATAGGAAAAAGAGGCAAAACTAAAAGTTCATACAAAGCATAAAACCTTTAACGCTAAGGAAAGTTTAATGAATTCCGTTTAGATCTAATTTGTAGAAGTCTTTTTGTAAGCTTCTGTTGTACACAGCGCATTCTACTCCTCTCACAGCACCAAAACCCTCACCTTTTTATCAGAGTTGCTCAGTTTGTATTTCACCTCCTTTGCTTTTTGAATAGCTTTTAGCACTTCCACAGTATCTAGTTCCTTTTCTGTGGTAACTATGTTATCCAAACAGACCTAAAAAAATGTGAAAACATCAAAAAATGTTGAAAACAAGGCAGCTCTGCAATTTATTTTTATTAATGTAATAATCAAAAATCATCTTCACTTAATGCAAACTATGTGCATCTTTGTAACCATTACACAAAAAATTATCACATTAGACCCTGCTCTAACATGATAGGAATTCAGTGCAAACTCAGAAACGCTTGGTAAGCTTAACACCCTTCTAGCACAGCTCTGTTTCAATATTAACATACTATTACCCAATGAAGACAAGGTAGACCTTCGTTTAGATCCAGGAGCATAGTTGAATAATGTTAATATGGTTTCATTCTCTAAAGACCTTCTCCAACACACACTAAAGGCTCATCAAGTTTTGGAACATTCACACTACTTTCCTCACCAGGCTTTAAAAAACATTTTTTCAAATGCCAGCTTCAAAGGAAGAAGCGCACCATGGCTTACCTCCGAGGCCCTGTCCCCAAACTGAGCAAGTACTTTGGTCCGGTAATCAGGGATGATGCTCAATGGATTGCTGGATAAGACCACCTTTTCTAAGCACGGGAGGTTTCCTATATTTTTTACTTCATCAATCTGAAAGTTTTGGAATAAGGATCGATACAGATTGGCTAAATGAAAATGAACATACAGACTGAGCATTTCTTGCATAAATTACATACAATAAGCAGGAAAAAAAATCACTACAGCCACTTTTATTTATTTGCAGTTTCACCCACTGAAAGACATTGCTTGTGATCTAAAGCACAATTCAACACTGAAAATCAACAGTTACCTGTTCTATTTTGTTGTTGCTCAGATCCAAGTTGACTAATGAGTACAGTTTGTTAAGACCACACAGCCTTTCCAGCTGATTTCCTGCTAAATTCAGAGTTTTGATGTTTCCCAGTTTTGTGTGAACACCTTCTAGTGATGTAAGCTTATTGTAGGATAAGTCTAGGTGAACAAGGTTGTAAAGATGCTACAAAAGCACAGAAAATCCATGTCATACACCAATTCATTAAAATTAAACAATATCGAAGACATTGTATTATGGCTTGTTCATTTTTTTGTGCAACAGTGTTTTCTTGCTGGACACTGCCTAGCGTGAAAAACATGAAATTATTGATTACACAGGCTCAAGCTTGTAGAAAGGGAACTTCCTCAACTACATTTTTACCAACCCACAGATACAGCTGGCAGTGAATGAATTTAGTTAAAAACTAAATGTTTTATGTCAGTATTGGCAAAGAAATTAAAATATCCAGAGCAAGTAAGAAGCGCACCATTAAAAGAGTACTTGATGTTATGGAGGATAAGCTATTTGGGCTTAAACCATTCTCCATGAGAAAGATGAGCAACAAAATCCTAAAGCAAGAAAATCTGTGTTCTAAGGTCTCAGGAAGTCTGGGTGGAAAAAAAAAGTCACCTTCAAAAGCATCACTTGCCTGTAAATTTTCCACCAGAGACACCCCATTGTGACTCAAATCCAGGAATTCAATCTTTGGAATTAATTTCTAGAGGACAAGAAAAAATGCATGTGTTATATGCATTTTAGCTTATAAATCAGGCCATACACTTCCTTCACTATCAGCTGACCAACAAGCAAAGGAAAGGTATCATCTGATGCACAGCCTCTCTTCTCAGCTTTTGGTATTAAAAAAGTATTCTGTATGACCTAGTGCAACACAAGAGTTGAATCTTGCTTTTAAGAAAACCAGGTTACTCTGAGGAGCATGGTTAAGTTTTAATTTGAAACCGTTTCTCACTGAAGACAAGTTGCTCCCAGTTTAGACCCATTAACTATACATCAAACACATTAATAGGTGTTTCCATCTTATCTAACAAGTATATCTATGTTACACAGGAACATGGATAAAGACAATAGTACCAAAACCCAGAATAAGTTGAGTGATTTGTTTCCATGTTTTGATTACACTAGGCAAGCATTACAAGGTCACACAAACCTCTCGAAAATGCACTTTAACCCAGAAAGCCTTTAATTTTTGGAGGACTCAAACCTTGAATTTGATGAGGAATTTTGACATCAACATATTTGCATCCACTTCATTTTGGTTGTAATCTCACCAATGATTTGCCTTGTAGTTAAGGCCTGGACTCAGACCTGAAACACCCTAAGTCTAAATCACAAAAAAACCTGAACAAGAAAACTGCACTCCAAGTCCATGATCTCTAGTCTATGTCTAGACCATGTATGTCTACCTACAGACATAACTGCTTCCTGCTTCACAAGAGTAGCTCAAGTAAAAAACTCATGTTCATATTTGACACATGTTCTAGTAATGAATGCTAGATTTTTTTTTTTTAATAACTGATTTACAAAATGTAATTCTAAGGTACTGGCAAAATACTCCAAATTTTGTTTCCATGCTCTTCATATTGTTTTGATGTCAAGGCAGCTGCCAGCAAGCCACAAGTTTTTAAATATGCAGGAAGCTTCAGCCTTGATAACACTCCAAAGCTGAGCTGAAGAGGTGTTTTGCTCTTTAAAAAAAACAAAACAAAACACACCAAACAAAAAAAACCCCCCAACTTTTGTAAGTGGCCTAAGGCCAATGCAAACAGTAAAAGCATGTTTCAAAAAGTCAGTATTCATGGAAGTGTTGCTTACAGAGCACAGAATGACAAACTTTGCTCCTTTAGCAAAGAAAATACTGTCATGGTTTAATCCCAGTCAGTAACTAAGCCACTCGCTCATCCCCCCCCGCCACAGTGGGATGGGAGAGAGAATTGCATAAAAAAGTAAAACTCATGGGTTGAGATAAAAAGTTTAATAGTACAGAAAGAAAATAATAATAGTAGTAAGAATGGAATTACAATAATAATAATGAAAGAATTGGAATATACAAAACAAGTGATGCACAATGCAATTGCTCACCACTCACTGACTGATGCCCAGTTAGTTCGTGAGCAGCAATCACCCTCCCCAGCCAACTCCCCCCAGTTCATATACTAGGCATGACATCACATGGTATGGAATATTCCTTTGGCCAGTTTGGGTCAGCCGTCCTGGCTGTGTCCCCTCCCAACTTCTTGTGCCCCTCCAGCCTTCTTGCTGACTGGGCATGAGAAGCTGAAAAATCTTTGACTTAGTATAAACACTACTTAGCAACAACTGAAAACATCAGTGTGTTAACAACATTATTCTCATACTAAATCCAAAACACAACACCATATCAGCTACTAGAAAGAAAATTAACTCTATCCCAGCCAAAACCAGGACAAATATCAAAGTAGTAAAAGAAAAAATCTCCTAAGCATTAACTTGCATAGCTAATAAGCATGAAGTAAGTGCAGCTGAAAATCTTTCAGAAAGAAGATATATAAACTAAATGCAAAATACCTGCTGTGTAATGTACCACAGCAGATCAGTCATACTTTTTTCCACAAATTAAAAAATATTTCTTACCACTGAATCATCAATTTGAGATATGCTATTGTGACTCATATCCAAAGTTGTTAAAGTTCTCCAAGTTGGGATAACTGCTGTCACTGGACAACTTGAAGTTGCACCCTCTGGCTCCCACTGATCAAACTCAGAGGCCTCAGGCACCAGGATTTCCTATTTAAGACAAGGACACTAAAATATTATGCTTATATCTTCATTGGAAGCTAATAGTTTTGCAAACAATCCAGACAACCTTATGTAAGTAAGGAAGATTTCTAAGCTTTATAATCACCTAGATTAAAGTTTTAAGTCTTAAAATGTTAGCTGACTGGGTCAGAATTATTTTAGATCTACAGGCAGGGAGTTCCAACACTAGCAGCCAATCCAAATGGGGAACGTGGTAGAACAGAGGGACTGTGAAAATTATGGTACTGGATATCCCTTGCCAAATCTAAGCCCAGAGAAAGAATAAGACATATGCATTTGGTTCTGGAGGAGTAACAGAAGCATACATTCCAATAAAAGCATCAGAAATGTCCTTATGAAGGGACACACACAAACACTTTCTCCACTCAAAGTTGAGATTCTGAAAGGTTAGCAAACCCTCTCAGTTCCATGGTTTTAAAAGAAGAACCTGCAGCAGGCAGTACAGAGAAGTACATGGACTCCAAATGGAATTTCCACAATGGGCACGTTATTTTTGCAGGTGCTTTGAACACTCACCAGAAGTAGGAACTCACTCTTACCTTCATTGATGTTGCTGAGTATCGAACACTCATTGTGGCCAGAGCATGTTTTGATGAAGTCAGCCCTTTGATAAGCTTTCCCCCACAATGACTGATCTATTTAAAAAAATAGTTATACTACAAAGTCAGAAATGCTAGAACAGACAAATATGAGACATGGAAGAGGCAGCTAAAAGCTTCAATAGCAGATTCTCTACCAATCTGGAAAGTAGTTACAGCACTCCCTTCAAATTTCCTGAGATTATCAGGTCAGAAATACCTACATTTGGTAAAGCTAAAGCAAGACATTAGAAACACAACTACAGAAAAGTGAAATTCAAACATTTATTTGAACAAAGCTTCTTCTCCATTGCCTTTCTACCTGCCCCATGTATTCTTCAAGGTAAAACTACCCAGGCAGTTTAACAGGGCACAGTATTTTACTGTTACCAAAAAGAAATATTTCAAGCTATGGCTTTACCGGCAGACACATTTACTTAGGTATTGTAAGTTCTTTACTGTAAGAAAAAAGAAATGCCTAGGAAGTGAGGATAGTAATCCAAGCATTTAATACACTAGTGAGCTAACTGCACAGACTAAGTTTAAGATCACAAAGTCTTTTTTCTGTAGCTCAATTTGGAACACCACCAAAGGTCTGCTACAGCCTCTGTCCAGCAACCAGGTCCTTCTCTGTAGACGGTCACACACTGTGCAACCACAACTGGCACATTTGCTGGTGTATCAGGGAAACCACACTAAACTGAGACACAGAGCTCCTGCCACCCTTGAAAAAAAAATATTCTTTCCAGATTAACACTGTTAATTTTTGGAAGTATTTACTACTAGATGAAAATGTCAGTCTGGTGCCAGTCAATCCAAAACTTTTCACAAACATACAATTACAAAAGTCTTCAAGACTAAAGCCCTTTTTTTTCCCCACACATGAAGCAAAGCTACACCTGAAACTATCTATGCTCACAGGAAAGGGGAAAATTGATACTATTCTGCAATATCATCTCTGCAGTATCTTAGGCTCTCCCACTCTTCAGCCCACTGTAGTTTTTCCCACAATAAAATGTCAATAAATCACTGACTTCAGAAATCCACTTCAGTTTTTAACCAAGTCAGTCTCATATCAATGAGACAATTGTGTTCATATACTAGAAGAGGTACAGCATCCACCAAAAGTGGACACAGAGTACAGACTGCAAGACAAAGTCAGATATTATCTCTCTAGAAAGATCCAAAGTGGTCAGAAAAGTATTTCATAAAATACTCATTGAATAACTTCCACTAGAAACCCTGTCACTCACACTGAAAGCAGACCAATGAAAAAAATCTGCAAATTATCAAGCAAGAAGCACTATACCCAAAAGCATACTTCCACAAGCAAATTTAATGTCAGGACATTTTCACAAATATTTGGCACTTTCCAAAAAGTACTTTGTAATAAGAGATCCCATTAAAACCCATTTGTTAGATCTTCAAGACAATGGAAAGCCACCCTGTTTTAGGTCTTGTGTATATGCTGGAAATCACATCCTTCTTGACACACACAGTATAAGCTATTCTAAACATTTAAATTTCACATCCTTATTTCCAAGACTTGTGGGGAAAAAACACAAAACCCAAAACACTGTTTCACAAATGAAACAGCCCTTCTAAACATTGCAGTCCACAATTCTAGCACCAAATCAAAGCATACAATTCTGAGACATGCAGCAGACTGGCATTCACAGAGCCTCTATAAAATTATGAGCAGTATCTCAGTCATACCTCTATTTGATGAAGCGATTTGAAAATTGACAGATCAAAAGGCAAGAGATGCTCCTGAATGTTACTGGTTCCAAAAGGTCCCCCTGTTCCAGTGACCTAGTAATCAACATTGAAGAACAGAGTTGGTGCACATAATCCAAATTGTCCACATTTCAGATAGTCTTACACAGGCAAATAGCACAAATACAGCATCTTGGAAAGACAGCCAAAGTCCAACCAGTTTTTCAAGTGTGGAATTATTCATGAAACTTGCCGATTAACTCTTCAGGAAATGATTGTAGTTGCTCCAGCTAAGTGCACTGAACTTGAAGCACTGAACTTGAACTGCCACCTTGTGCTTGTATTTTGTAGCACATGGGGCATGCAAAAAAAAAAAAACCCAAAAAGATACCATAGGCAAGACTGACCAAGGCTTCATTTTCAGCTGACCAAGCCAGAGCAGCATTCACTAAAAACAATTTCCTTGAAACATCTGGATCCTCCAAGACAGAACAGTTTCAATTCCACTACAGGGGATGAAGTTCAAGGCATTGACAAGATGAGTTTGAAGAAAACATTAGACATTAGTACACATCTAATATAAATGCATCTAGTATTTCCATGTGGTCATTGGATTCTGGCCTCAGAGCATGTCAACAGTGTAAGAGACAGGTGGTTTAATTTATGTTTGTTGTGAGTATAATTTTGGGAGAAATATCTAAGGTTTTTTTCTGGTCTCATATGTATCTTACAAGGTCTGAAGGTCCCCACTCACAAGCATTCAGAAGTGCCAGAAATTCTGAAGATGGGTATTTTTCTAAATGATATGCTCTTCTCCAGCCAGAGAATCCTCTGTTCAGAGTATTCTATACACAGAGGATGGCAAAGGCAACTGAAGATCCACAGAAATACAAGCACAGCTGTGGTTTTGCTTTCACAACTTCCTAAGTACTCCAGTGAAGCTTCCCCCAATCCACTACTTTGTTTCCCCTTTGAACACACCACACAGTTAAAAGGAAGCTCTTCTTGTAAGAGAGGGGCTAAAAAGAGTTTGAGCTATAGCAAGCAGTGTTAAAAAAATTACTCAGGAAAAGTCTTTCCAATCCACCTATTTGGTAGGAAAAAAATTGGCTCCAGACAAAAATGATCTGTTCTGAGGCCATTTTACATTTATTCTGAAATGGTATTTTAGCTAGAAATTCAGGGCCATCTCATCTATGAAACTGAGATTTTTGAAAGTTAAAAAAAACCCAAACTAACAGATACAGTCAAAGGTGAGAAAGGGGACAGGATTTATATGCATGTATGCATATGTATACATATACACTGGCCTACGCACAGTGTGTGCAAAGAATGCAGGGTTGAAGAGAATAGTATTTATCTATCACCCTATTCCTGCTAGCACCCACTAAGATTCTGTGACTGCATCTCTACAGAGAGCACTGCTGAAGAGACCATATCAGACGATCAGCATCTTTGTTAGAGAACTATATGCTATTGAAGGTTGACAATAAACACCTGCTTAACATTGACTTCCAAATGCTTACACTTGTTTACTATCCTTAAAGTTCTTGTGCATTCAAACTAGACTCCAAAAGTATGCTAAGAATCATGTCAGTCTGGTAGAAACAACATCTCCAGTATTTGTGCAAGTATAGCTCACCTTTAAATACTTGAGTCTACAAGTGAAATCTAGAATATGACCTAGATCTGTTTTGGCATCTCCATTAGCACATGTAGGCTTCCCCTGTAGCAACTGTTGAGTGACAGCATATAACTGCAAGGGTCTGATCGTGAAGACTTCTCCAGCCATTAGTAACTGCTCTCCTGAAAAACAGAGTATGATGGTATCAAACACAATGCTGTAATGGTTACAAAAGAATAAGTGTTACATTGAAGATCTGATGTTAGAGATTAGATGTTTGTCATTTATACTCTAAGCTCATAATTGAGGTACCAAAACAATGTCCTTTTTTGCCACTTTAAACTACAACAGCTGAATTAAGAATTTTTTTTAACACCAAAATAACCTAGGTGTTCAAATGGGCACTCATCATACAAGCCTGAAGCTCCTAACACAACTAATGGCAGATTTCCCTCAACCTTAACAGGACTGGAATCAAGGTTCATTTATATAATGTAAGAGATACTAAACTTTTTCTGAGATATCCCTAAGTTCTATAGCAGTTAGGACTTACTCTATTCAGAAAAAGCAGTGCCTGCCATCTAAAAACCAGGCCTTACATCTTTTGCTACACTGCCTAAATGCAGAACTGTAGCAAGTATGTTTTCTTGGAAAGTATGAGGAGTTTCACCACACTAATACCAACGTGAACTCCCAGAACAGGAAATGCATTATCTGATAATATTTTTACAATCCCATTTCATTCTAGGAACAGTGGGAAACAGCATCCAAAAGCCTCTCTGAAGGCACCATAAGAGTTAACATGGACTACAGCAGTCAAAACACACACATGTGGAATTAATATCTTTCTCCTCTTTGGGACATCAGTTTGACTTCATAGACAAGAGAGCATCAGCTTTCATGATAAGCACAGTTCTCAGAAATGCTCTGAGGAGTAAAATTCCCTTTGGCTTCAGTGGGAGCAAGTCCAAGATTCCAGCTGCACGTTACTGGAAGGCTACACTAATATACAGCAGTCATACACCAATGATTCTGATATCAGTGAGACTGCAGGCACTACAAAGTCAGGGAAGATTTCTTCAGGAGCTTCCTTAAAATTGTTCCAAAATTTGCTGAGCAGACCCTCTGAAATGGCTTCACCTAAAGTTAATTTTGTGCCAGAACAGTTTGAAATGGCATGCTGAAAAATGCATCACCTATCACCTCAGCCAACTGGAATTATACAGTAGCATCTAGCATGTCCTTCAAAACAAAATTAGCATTGGTTAATCATTTCATATGCCTCCTGCTGTTAATGAACCAGTTAAAGCTGTTGCAGTTACAGTAAGTGCATGTCATTTTCATCTGCCAGCCTCAGAAAAGGCTATCCTTTAATTAACTGACCAGAAGGTCTCATGTTTCCTGAATTCTGGAAGAACAATACTAATTTAGATATGTAAAGTGGCCTCTTGCATTTAACACACACTGTATCAGGACTCATTGATATAAAACAAATTTCCTTACAGGTTACACTAAAACATACCAAGACAGAAAGCTTAACAAAAGCTTCTGATCACCAGTACCACATCCTATCCTTTAAGGACAGACTAGTAGGCCCTTTCCAAAACCTAAATTCACCAATTTCTCTGTTTTGTTTCTGTCACAGCTCCTCCCAAAATGCAGCTTGAATCAAAGTGTAAACAGCAAGAAAAAGGTGAATAGAAAGAAGGGGAAGAAAAAAATCTCAGTCTGACATGGAAAATTCATCTCTCTTTGCCTGGAGATTCAAAATCACAGGTATATGAATGCATGTACATAGAGGAAACCATTCCCAGTTAAATTCTTGCAGGTTCTTTACCTTTGTGGAATAGCTCTTCAGCCAATGCAGCAGTGATCCCATTGATCTCCTGCAAAGAATAAACTGTTGTAATCAAGTGTTATTTACATACTTATGGTTCCAATTTTTCAACATGTACCTTTGCTGAAGTCTCCCTTTTTTGCTGTGGCACAGGACTTTTTTTTTATAACAGAAATCAACTGTGATCATGTCTTATGGATTCCTTTGTAATTTGAAAATACTTCATAAAAATGACCTGAAATTATTTAATTTCATATTATTTTAATTTCCGACCTGGAAGATACTGAACTACATTTAAATAGTCACATCCTGCATATATTAGAAAAGGGCAACAGCAACTAGAGCAACTATTACTAGCCATCATTAGCCCAACTTGAAAGAAAGCTCTGTTTTGAAGAAACTATTACAAGTATAGTGATCTTCAAATTTTAAGACTAACCTAATGCATCAATCACTCAACATTTCCTCAGAATATCACTAATGCACAGAAAACTTCAGATTAACAGGTCTACAGCGAAGAAGATATATATATAAGAAGTAATTAGTCTTCTGGACTTCAACTCTATTATGCTCGCTGCAGAGCAATTCAAAAGCCCCTTTTCCCCATCCTACATCTTTGCTACCCTCCTGGACCTACCCAGGTGCTCAATCTCCATTCCAGACACTGACAGCTCTAGAAGGAAAGAAAAAGGCTGAAAACAATGCAGGGATTTGTTCTTCCTGAATCTGAAGGTGCACAAAGATCAGTAGCAGTATTTCCCATACAGGCATACCTCTCTGTATACTCTCTCTCTCTCAAAACCCAAATGCTCTGTGGAAGTCCAGAAATAGTTCTGAACATTTCCAACAGTTCTCTCTAAGGCCCACAAAAAGAACAAAATAAAACTATTTGAGATGGTGAAGCTTCCCCTAGACACATGCATCTCATTTTAAGGTAGCCGCAAAGGATAAATGTATTATGGATCATCACAAAATGAATATTTAATGAGTTTACTTTGCTGACAAATCCCTCATGATTCATAACAAGGGAATAAATCCACAGGACATCTGCAGCAGACAGTTCAGCTCAGTTGATGAGGCAAGCATTTTAGAAAAGCACATTCTTAGTATAACTGAAACCCCACTCACTGAGGACGAACAAAGCCTCCACACCAGTTTTGAGAACAACAAGCTAGAAGCTGCATTCCCAAAAAAATTCAACAATTCTGAATCATTTGAATAAGACAATTACATTCATCTGACATGCACAGACTTAATTGAAAACTACACTCTGTATCTCTTTCATCTTCTGGGACACAGCAGAAATTTCTTCTAAATCTATAATTGAAATGAGATTATGACTTGGACTGTTCAGTGACTAGCAGGCAAAAAAAGCAACTCTATTCCTCTGTCTACAAGAGACCTCTGTCTTAGCTCTAACTACTTATATGCATCAAACCCACAGAAGTCCATTGTTTGCAGGTGTCTCTGAACAGCAGTTTGTGGGTACTCAGTTCTTCTCTTGCAAAAGCTTCTCTTTGTAAGTTAACAAACCAAATCTTCTAAGATGACAAAGTATAAGACAGAGCAACAAAACAAGCATCCCCGTATCACTGCAGACATCCTATTCAATGTCAAAGTAACAATGATGTTCTACATTGCTGTCACATGCAACTGTTTCTCCTTGCTAAGCTGTACCTGGCTTTTCCCTGTGACATGCAAAGGCTTCAAAGTGGGTTTAATGTATTTATTTTAGGTATTTCTACTCCAGTTAGTTCTATTAACCTGGGAAGTTAAATAATCCCTACTGGAAGTACTACAAATAAGCATAGACAAAAAATATTGCAGCCTTCCTATATAAACTAATGAAGCAATATTAGGGACTATAATGGCTCAAGCATGCACATGGGCTGTCTTGTAACAAAAATATTTTAAAATAAGATCAAAGTTCTGCAGGAAGGTTATTTTCCAGTAGAATTGCTGTGGTAAATATTTAGCTTTTCTGCTGAATAACTAACTTTTTTTTTGTAAATATTTGAAAGTAGTCTAAAGTTCCAAGCAAAAACAATCGAGTTTATACCTCAAGCCAGACTCCCCTAAAGCAAAGAAATGCAGATTAAGCAACAACTTTGCTTGTAATACACAAGCACAGCATAGAAACAGGGAAGCATTCATATCCAAATAATGCTAGCTCTTTGGAAAAGTAAAAAAGGATGAATATTACAGCAAGAGAAAAAAACAGTCTAACTGAAAAACAAGAGAGGGACTAGGAAGAATTTCTGCCTGCATAAAAACCTTTGTTGAAGGTACAGCACTGAAACATTAATGAAAGGGACATTTAAGAGACAGAGTAGCCAGACAACAGAAAAATTATGCAACTTCTGAATTATCAGGAAGCTTGCTCCATCTGAATGGAATTGTCCCTACATTATCACGTGCATTTTTAATACATTTAAAAACTCTAATCCATTTTAGAAGGCTTGATCATGACAAACTAGTGCTTCTCACTCAAATCTGCAGGGCAATAGCAACACTATGAAGTAAACCTTCCACTGTTTATCTAAGTCAAACTCTAAAGTCTCACCAGGATAATTATGTTCATGTAACATAACTAAACCAGGTTTTTCTTTGTTGCTAAAACTTAATTAACACACCTAGTGGACCACTTGTGACTCACTTCTGAAGCCTTTATATGAAACCATGAAGGGCCATCTCAGCACATCCCACCCCAAAGCAATTACTGCTCCTCCTTTCCATTGAGTTCTCCAGTGCATTTTCCTCTATGAAGTTCATTCTCTCCCTTAGAACATGATGCCATACTGCAAAAAAGCCTAATTATACACAAGAGATGAACAAACAAATTGCAATCTGAACATGAAAGCAAGCCATTGCTTCTCACTTCAAGCACCCTTTACCCTAACATTGTCTGCTGGCTGGAGATATTTCTCCAGAGGCCACTCCATCAGTGTACTTCTCATGGAGAAGCACCATTTTTCTTCATCTGGGTTACTGGAAAGTATTTCAGTGTGAACCACAGCTCTAACCATTAACCACTAAGTAGGAGTGTGTGTGGATCAATTATGCAATGCTCCTTTGGAGAGCCAGCACTATTGACTTCAGCCTAACAACCAATTCAGCTTCAGATTTATTCACAGCTTCCAACTATCCTGCCAGCATTTATTTTCTCCTCTTAGAGCCCCTATCCATATTACACACCAGCACAGTATCTACTGCAATAAAAAGTGGTGTCAAAAATCTTAAGAATATGCTTTGTTTGTTACATTATGCAAAATGCTGAAAAAGAGTAGTTTCACCTATTTTGTGAAGATTCCACACAATTCTCTCCAAGTCAGAGAGCTAGGGAAAGACATTTAGGCGTCCATCTCATATGCTAAAAACATAACTTACATATAAATGAAAGTGTAGGAAGTGTGACAAGACTTTTGGAGTAGTAACAGGGAACTTGACTAGCAGGGTTTGCAGGTAGACCTCTAATTCCTTTTGTCTTTTCTCCACCAGGCTTTTGGAATTTTTTCCAATGATCTTCTTAGGAGGTAACAGATTTTTATCTATCTTCTTTTCTGAAACAAGCTGAAAGACAAAGACCAGAGTTACTACCCAACTCACCATCTGAACATGCACAAAAGATGCAACAGAACACATTAAAAGCATGTTCCCTGATTTTGGTAAGATCCAAAAATAAAATTACTTCAGTTAATTTAGCTATTGACCTCAAACTATTAGGTATTTTCAGAAATAACTTTTTATCACAAAATGATGAGAACTTCAACAACAGTGTTTTCTGGAAGAATCATTCACAGTACCACATGGTTGAATGTAACTACGGTGATAAAACAACAGAATTACCGGTGCTTTTCTGAGAAAGCAGCCCAGTCAACTTTAGTGGACTTTCCCTCATTTTCACTTGCTGTTTTTAATCAGCACTGGTTAGTAACTACCCCATGCTACTGTCTAAGGACAGTTTTATCATCCACCTCTCCCAGAAGAGAGTCTTTGCTCCAATCCAGCTTTTTGTTACCAGATCAGCTGATCATAAACATCACTCTCAGCAAAACATTTAATGACTCTAGCCTGAACTCCACTCTTTCTGATACAAGCTTCTAAGGCTAAAGTTGTCCAGGCCAACCTCCCCCAGTTCAAGAGAGAAGTGTAACAGAGGCAAGTAATATCGTTCATACAAAAAGGATTTAGTCTGCAGTTCAGATGGTATCTGGCAGATATTCTTGCTCTTTATTGAGGAAAGAATTTATGTCCCATACAACAGAACTATACAAACTGCACAATGTTTTGTAAGAGACCAAGGCCACAGTTTTAATATCTTTACCTTTTCATGCAGGTCATGGAAATCGCTGTAACGATGTTTGACTGTCCACTGATGACTGCCAACACTGACCTGAATAATGTATACCTGAAAAGAAGAAATTAAAGTAAGCGCACTGCAAAGCATTTGTCTTAGAGAAGCTGACTGTGAGACGTGCTGTTAATGTAGCACTATAAGGTGATTCTACATGCTTAAAGTATCATAGTTAACTGAAAGCTAACCCAAACTCTAAGATGAGTTTGCTGATATAGGATGCCTAATGTCATTTGCAAGGCTGCTCCACACACAAAAACATGCAGATGCTTCTTAATGTAAAGAAATGGCTTTTATTTTCGCAGCCCAAAGTTTAATAACCAAGATCTCTAAGCTACTACTTTTTCTGAAGATTTCTGCTAGCTATGTTGGTATTCATAGCTATCCACAACCCTGAGACAGCAGCATCCCTTCTTCAATCTACCAAGTTCCACAACAGGCAGAGGAACTTGGCAACCATCCTGCTGTCGCTTCACAGTTAAGCAGAAATCTGGAGGCTTAACCCTTCAGAAATCTAGACAAATCCTTTGGTTGGCTGGATGTTAACTCTTTTATTCCTTTTAGGGTAAAGCACACAAGACAGCTTCCCCAGAGTTACAATCATGGCCAAATAATCACGACGATTATCTAAAGCAACCCAACTTTTCTTTACACAAAGCTAAGTGTTTTTAACCATGCATGTACCAAACAATTCAAAATTTTCATTGCAGGTGACTTTGCAGATTGAACAGTACTGGTTCTGCAGGAAACTCACAATCTACCTTTGGATATGCCAGAAGCAAGCCATCCCAAAGAAACTTTAAAGGTACAAAATAAAACAAAGCGGAAAACAAACAAGGCTTGGTAAAACCAGTTCTACAGCTACTTGAAAATAACAAATTAAATAACTTGTGTTATCCAATGCAACTATACTCCTTGGGGAAAAAAAAACCCAACAATTTGCAATCAAACCTTGAAAGCGTTTAATACAGTTGCGAACTTCCTTACTACCACAGATCGCACAGACCTGACTCATAGCTGCTATGAGAATGATGCACATCTAGTTGCTAAACCCACATGAGGAAACAAAAAGCATCAACAGTTTCAATTTGTTATGTAAAAGGCCAGTTTTCACTTATTGTTAGTACAGACCAGCACAATACCAAACATTAAATAGAATACCACTCGCATTTTAAAAGACAAACTATATCTCATACCAATTATATTTTTGTAAGCATCTGACACTGGCTTGCTGAACAAAAACCAAGTCCTACAGAGAACTGAATCAAGATGTCTGACTAGTGCATACAGCAAGTGACACGTCAGTGTTCAGATGAGTACTGAAAACACAGATGAATGCATCCACAGAATTACAGTCTCAATTAAGGCCTGCATCTGCTTTCCCATCATGTTGTATTGGGAAACAGCAGATCATGATTATTCACTGTGCCAGTGACAAATTAGAACAGGAATAACCTGAGCATTCAAGTGTTCCTCATAACCCTGAGGAAAGCAAGGAGATACTCAAAGAAACCAGAAGATTAAAGTTAGAACTAAAGTAGTACTACATTTATAAGCCACAGTAAGACCACCATTTCTTTTTAAAAGCTGACTGCGCTAAATTATAGCAGATCAAGCATTACAGCTAAATGCAATGCAGACTGAGTATACATGCATAAAACCTCAGATTAGATGTTGAAAACACAGTAAACTTCACAGCTCCCAGCTTATGAGACAAGGAAGGAATGCCCCTTCTCTCTGTATACAATACAGTCAGAGTAAATATGTAATAAAGGTTTCGTATCCTTTTGCTGAAACAGCAAGCACTGACCAATTCTAGAAACATAGCACCGAGCCAAATGGATAGTCTGGTCAGGAAAACACCTGTTAAAATGAGTGTTTACATGCACTGATACAATTCATCAAATTAAGTCTTTAAAAAGCCATAGCATTCCCCATGTAGAATGCAGCCAGAGCCAACAGTACATATTCACCCCTCAAACAGCATCAGTACACAGAATTACAGCAACTGATTTCATATCAATCCACAAGCTGCCATTATCTCAAAGAATAAATACAAATGCAATATGCTTATGTGCTCCGAAGACCTGCTTCAATAAGCAAAAACACCTAAGTTTCTAAAAAAGTCAGGTATCCAAGTTCAATTAATTTTGAGTGCACTAATATGACAAGGCTGACAGTTTAAGATTCTTCAATAACTGCCTACCTGTCAAACCAAACGCTAGAAGGCATACATGGAGAGATGAAATTCTCACACACTGCACTGTCTCCCAGACAAATACACCATGTGAAATCTCCACCCTTATTTATGCCATAAACTGCATCTCTATTGAGCTAAAATGCAAAAGTGTTTACATTCACAGGTTTTCCTCCTCCCTGTGTCTCTGCCAAACTCTGCTGTGTAATAAATTTTGTACATCTTTCTATAAATCAGTCATTTTGGCTACTCTTACTTTGTAAAAGTGTTTTGCATATCTGCAGTGCTGTATATTTTCAGGATTTTCTAACCAGTCACTTACCCACCCATCGGAGTTTACATGGAAAACTTGCATTTCTACAGTATCCCTCATCTAACTTCATACTTCAGTACTGTCAAGACAACAAGCACCTCACTTTACAGATGACAGGCAGAGCTGACCACAGGAAGCCTGGGACACAGGTGTGACTGCAGCCAGTAGGTCCCAAATTCCAGAGCAGTGATGCAACTGCATCTCCTCCTCTCCACCCTGTCAAGTAGTCAGTTTACACCCATTCAAGGAAGCCACAGTATTTTCCTTAAATATCAAGGCTAGTATTTATATTCAAAACAGCTGCAAAAGACAAGAAAAGCAGGAAGGCAATTTTAGGCCAAACAAATGCATAGCAGGAAACAAAGCAAGCACTGGCAGCCTTAAGGCCCTCCAGCAATCAGCCAGTCTTCAGTCAGCATCTAGCTGGACCAGCACATGCAGGAGAAATACCTAGTAAAAGTGCTCATACATTTCTAACCCAACAGAAGAAACATCAACAAGTGCAGTATTTTTTCCTGCTGGACTTACCCATACCTTGCCTTCCACCCTAAACAACTCCAACAAGAATCACATTTTCAAAAGTGCCTTCAAAATTACACAGAACCGTGGACCTCCCTGATATATTTTAGAGGATTTAATCTCACAACTGTCAAACGGATGTCATTAAAATAAGTCTCCTCCTATTGAGATTATGAGCTCTGAAATACAGAGTACAACGGGAAGCACACACACAAAAAGAAAAACAACTCTTTCAAAAAACAAAGATGTAAATAAGACCACTGCCATCTTGACTACTACATGTTAATGGATAAAGATGCAGCTTGGTACTGCTGTATTTCCCTTCTCGCCTTTACCAGATTTGACTGAATTTTACACTATCCAATTTCTTCATTTCTGTGCTGGTACAGGTCTTTATCACGTCCTTAGGTGCTGCTAATCTAATTTTGAACACTAAACATAAATGCTAATTTTTGTAAAACATTCACCTTGTGAATAATTTTGTAAAATTTCTGTTTTCGTTTAAAGATTTATTCCTACATTTCTAATGGCTTGGGTCTATCTCATACAAACTGGCTGCAGGCTTAGAGTCCTGCTAAAAGTTTTAGGAGGTTTACATACAGGTAAGCTTAATGCAATGACTCCTTCAAAAATGCAGCAAGAGAATCAAAGTAGGACCAAATACTGGTAAATCTTGCCTTTCAAACACGCTACTTTTAAAGCTCCCAAGAAAAATGGCATTAAAATACCATGGCATTTCCAGAACCATAATCATTAAAAAAGAAAGCTGGCCTTGAAGAAATAAGCTTCCTTGGGATTAGCTGCAGCAGCTTAAAATGTTATCCCCAACTATCAGCTGAACACTACCTGCAGCAAAGTTATACACCTGAACTACAGCTCGATCTAGCAAATTAATGAATGGTACTACCAAAGGCTGGCTGTACCACAATACTAGCTTGCAGGCCAAAGCCCCAAAGTAGCTAACATTTCACCTCCTGTGTCCATAACCACCAGTGGAATAAGGGAGCAGATAACATTTTGACATTTTCTCAAGTAAATTCACTTGAAATTCTCATTCACTGGTATTGCAAAATACAAATGAGAATTCTCAACACCAACATTAACACTGCTGAGTCTTGGTTCACACCTGAAATCGAAGTTTCCAGTCACCATGACGCATGTCTCACTATGCCTCTTGGCTGATCAGGAACTGCGAAAACAAACTTACTTGGGGGATGAACCACATCCTAACACACACAGTGGTAACATCTCAACAGCAGCAGCAGTATCATTTCTGTGAACACACATCATGTAACTAACATAAAGAGCTGAAGCAATTTTCAAGAATTTATTTTAAGCTTCTAACAAACTCCTTCACTGAACACTCATTACATTTTTGTCTGTAATTATGGCTACTCACCACCTGACAGTCATTCCTACACAATGATGTTTCAAGGGTTGTCAACTGGAAAGGAGTTAGGCCCTTCATGTACTACAGCTGTGTAAATGCTCTGTCCTATCAAAAACTCTGAAATCACTCTCCTGTTGCTCTGTTTTCTCAGAGGCAGTAACCTGAAATATTACTTGTAACTATTACACAACTTTACAAATGCTACCTTTCTAGACCATTGCTCCCCCTTCCCTTTTCTCTTTTAGGTTCCTACCTCAGGAAGAAACCTGAATGACATTATGTGCATTCCACAAAAAAAACCCCATTCAAATCATACTAAAATAAGGTAGGAGCAGAAAACATTTTTAGTTATATAACTAAAGGGTGGTGTGGGTGAGATGTTTTCTGTCTGCAATTATGCTGAGGTTTGTTTTATGATGAGCTTCTTCCTGAAAAACAGACCAATTAACTCAGTAGAATGCAGCCAGTTAAAAAACAAGTTATACTTAATTCCTTCCCCAAACAAAAATGCTGCTGACAATCTTTTCTCTTTTTTTTTTGTAGGGTAAGAGAAAAACTGTCTACCCCAAATTATCTGATTTCCTTTGAAAATAAGGTTGGCTTTTCAAAGGGGTCTTTTTACAGTATTTTCACCTGAAGGAAACGTTTCCTACAATATTTAGCCCAGCTTTAAAAGCTATGTTTACTCAGTAACAATTTTTCATAATCATATGCACATATACATGCATGTATCTGTATAAATAGACACGGGCAAGAAGAACACGACATTTGCAAACAGCCTCCACAAAAACACCGGCTCTCCCAAAGGGCCAGAGCTGCGAGGACCTCGGGGGTGGTGGTGGGGGCGGATTTTCACCAGCCGAGACCCGCAGCCCGGCTCCTGCCCGCCTTCGGGGCAGATTTCCCAGAACACGCGTCCCTCCGCGGAGGCAGAAACCGCTCGGAAACTTCTGCCAAATTATTCTCGCTCTGGCTTTAGCGTGGGTACCAAAGCGGGCCGAGAACTGTTGCTTGGCTTCCTCAGAGCCGGCAGGGAGACGGCGGCACTAAGCAGGAGGCAGCGCAGCCCCAAGCCCGCCCTCAGCCCGCTCCCCCCGGCACCCCGCAGGCTGCCTGAGGCGGCGGCGAGGCGGGCCCGCTCCCCCACGCCTCCCCCCATCACCCGCCGCCCGGCACGTCCCTCACGGCCTCCCCCCCCATCCCCGGCTCGCCTCCGCGGGACCCCCGGCCCCGGGCCGCAGCCTCCCTCCGGCCCCGCACCGTGTAGGTCTCCACCAGCTCGGAACCCAGGACTCGGGCCTCCCGCGGGGGCTCCTCGCCGTCCTCGCCCCCCGCCGCCGCTTCCATGACGCCGCAGAGAAGCGCGGGGGACCGGCCGCCGCTGCGCTCACGCCGTCACCGCTCCTC